CAACGATGGACGACGACGGACAAAAGGCGATCGCAATAGGTCACTTGAGACTTTGTCTCAGGTGACATAAAAATCTTTTAATATTGATATTAACCTTTTTCTCGACCCCAATGGTAACGTTTTCAAGAAACTGGCAATTATTTTGGCAAATCGGCAGTAAGCTAGTTTAAAAACCTCTGGAAAAAATCACATTTATTATGAAGTCATAGATAAGATTTTAACATTTTGGATATAATATAAACATGTCTGAAAATTAATTTTCTTTTTCTTTTTGCTTATGCAAATTTTAAATGATGACATGTCAAGAAATGTAACATGTTTGTCAGCAGATTAGTGTTATAGATATCACTGGTATATCTTACATGTCTTACATGAACATGTCTGTACACCTGTACAGGTATCAATCATTGCACCTGATTTACCTGTTACATTCCTGCTCCTCAAATGTCACGTTAATAGAATCACACAATTGTCGAAATTCTTCCATAGGTAAATCCCGCATTTCCAATATAAGAATATCCACGAGTCAGAACAACACTGAAACGGTCATTTTATCACAATGCTCAGTGTTAGAATGGCCAGAATGATAATCTCAGGACCTGGGTCTGAACAAGGTCAATATTCTCCAGGTGATAAAAGACTAGGAAGTTTATGATCTTTTTATCGGACAATCAGACTCAGGATAAATTGAGGCTGGATCATATCATGTCCTGGATTGTAGCTAGAACTCAACAGACCACCAGCTGATTGTGGACTAGGAAGACTTCTATACATGTATTAATATATATACACACACTATCAGCCCCTATCCGTCTCATCTAAGTAACGTTTATATATCTACCTGAACAATCCACACCTGTTAATGCGGTGTCACTTGCCACCCCTAAACTGGATAATGGATTATCTAGATCAATTGATTTGGACCAATTGATTTTTACCTGCAGGGAAGGGTGGGAGTGAAACTTTTTATCAAAGCTTACTATTTGATTTACCGGCCTTAAAAGTCCAATATCGACCCAAGGTAAGACTTACGCAACACCTGAAATAGGTCTTTTGAGGTAAAACACCGACTTCAAAAGTAATCCAACGAGGATAAAAGACCAGTGGACCCATGTGTATTGATTTATAGATCAAGAGCAAATATGTCTGTAGCAATAAGCCTTTAACAATCACGAACAGAAACTAAATAAAATACAATCATACAATAACACTGAAACAACGTCTTATTGAAACAAATGACCAAATCACTTCCTTTTTTATAAAACGACCTCTGACAGTACAGCTGTACCCTGCTTTTGAATATTTTAGGAATCTTTATGATAAGTTCACTTACTCCGGTACAAGGAGGTCCTGTATAAGCAAGAAGGTGGAGTCAAGATAAAAGCGAGTGTGATGATCACGACAAGTAGATCTACTATGATTGCTCTTAAAATTGCTTCAGTAAGTTGTCCTGTTTGCCATAATTGTAGTGAAAGGTGGTTAAGTGTTTAAATAAAATCCAACCTTTAACTTTACGTTCTGTATTTTGCTCTAACACTTCATACCTGTCAATCCCGGATATACTGAAAGAGGGTGATGACCCTCTTTTGAAAATTAAAAAGAGAGTCATAGCGTGCGACATCTTTTTTTTTGCAATAAATATAAGAAAAGTAGATTTTAAATTGGAACTTTAATATTTTAATGATGTAAAAGGTACATTCTGCATTCAATAAACTGTTCTTCCAGCATATCTAGCTGATCCTCATCCACAATACCAAATTTAAATTTAATTAAAATTTTAACAACACAACTTATAGAATTAATTCATGTTAATATATGATACTGTGTTTTCACAGGGATTTTTTAATGTCAATAAAAATGGTCCTGACATTAAGAAATTGCACCTTATTCATATAAAATATAAGTTTTATACGAGTAGGGTTTGAAATCTTATTGTCAGGATCATTTTGATTGACAGAAACAAATCGTAAATGCCTGTGCGTGTTTTTAAATGTCTTAGAAACATTGTTTTTAGCACCAGATACAACTGAAATATGCGATTTACAAAGAGTGCAGAATGCAGCGTTTGGTCCACGAACGCTGGACTTTATCCATTATAACTCATTTTCCTACGACATTTGATATGTGCACAATTATCTTTTCTTTTTAGCATTTCGTGAAGTAGAACCTGCTAGTCGCGATAACGACTTCTTCCTTCAAGAAGACTCAAAATATGATTTAGACTACGTATATTCGTTAAAACACCTCACTAATTACTTGTCGGTAAGTTCAGTAACAACTATATAAACATTTTTAAAAACAGTTCTAGTACGTATATAAACAACTCACAACTTACCTGTCGTTTAGAAACGAAAACAGGAAATAGATCGTCTTTCTTTAGACAAAGGATGGAAAAGTCTAGAGAATTCCGAGTGACTTCGGAATATACGAGAAGATTCTGGGCGAAAACGGGTGAAATTGACGAAATCCTGGTCAAGTACGTGTGAAGTTATAAAAGCCGGTGAAGGGCTAAAATCCCCGGTGCAACCCGACGAAATCGGGTCACTTGGCAGGTATGACACTTGTTAGACTACTTGTACACACCCACAATCTGTCTCCAAATATTCATTCCAGATTCTATGAGAGGCACATGCCTTCAATATCTACGAACGTTTCTGGAAATTTATAGGTTGAAATAATAATATTATAATAATTCAAGGTTCTTATATACCGCTTTATCACAACCTAGTTCGTTGGTCATCTCAAAGCAGTTCATAAATTATTATCCGTGGTTGTAGGGCCTTTGCAACAAGCCAACATCTTTCTCAAGTTCCTTGGGAGCATACAGCTGGTGCTACCTTTTCGGCGTTCACAGCTAGCATTCAACAATTCTAGCAATGCCCAACCACGTACTCATTTACAGCTGAGTAGACTGGAACAACCGGAGTAAAGTATCTTGCTCAAAGATACAACACTGTAAGTGGCGTGCCATGACTCGAACCCGCAAAGGACGAGATGCTTGAGGAAGGGAAGTTTCATCATAATCTGATAATTCATTCAAAAGATATTAACCCAAGAAACTATGAACCAATCAGATTACAGCACCCTGATTAAATAAGCATGGATTTTGCAGAGCATGATAATCAACTTTTGAAAATCAAAGCATTCCTTTCTGCGATATCACATAAACAAGAGGCCCATGGGCCTTAACGTCACCTGATATATTTATACAGAGAGTTGATTTTGTTTTTAACATGAACAGAAATATTATTCAAAGTGACAAAAAACAATAAAACCACCTTATTCAATATCTAGCATACAGATTTCAGACTAAAAAGTATTTGAAACTAGCACCTCTGATTCTTAACAAGGAAAATGAAGAAATTTGAGGACACTGACTCCTTTGAGCCCCACCCTACAGCCCTTGTGGGTAGGGCTGGCTCAAAATTTTCGAAGTATCAAACTGTCAATTCAAGGTTAAGTTATTAACATGTAATATTCAAAGTATCATTTGCCATTATAAACCATAATAAATTTTCCCCCCCCCCCCTCCTTCCCCAGGGGGTAAACGTGAGACCCTAGGGTCATACACCTTAAGACCCTTCCATCTATGAAGAGTATTTGATTCTACCATATCTGGGTCTTGAGAAGAAGATTTTTGAAATTTCAGTAAATTCGACCCTTTTTGGCCCATAGGTACATACTACCAAACTGCTACCTAATACTGATAATGCTAACCCAAACTGAATTACTTCCAATGGAAATTAAACAAATGTTTGTCCAAAATGTGATTTCCCTATATAAACTATAGTAAAGTTTACCCCCTCCCCAGGGGGAAATGTGAGACCCCAGGGTCAAGAAATTCACAATTTTGGTAAAGCACCTTAAGACCCTTCCATATATGAAGAGTATTTGATTCTACCATATCTGGGTCTTGAGAAGAAGATTTTTGAAATTTCAGTAAATTCGACCCTTTTTGGCCCATAGGTACATACTACCAAACTGCTACCTAATACTGATAATGCTAACCCAAATTGAATTACTTCCAATGGAAATAAAACAGATGTTGGTCCAAAATGTGATTTCCCTTTATAAACTATAGTAAAGTTTACCCCCTTACCAGGGGGAAACGTAAGACCCCAGGGTCATGAAATTCACAATCTCGGTAAAGCACCTTAAAACCCTTCCATATATGAAGAGTATTTGATTCTCCCATATCTGGGTCTTGAGAAGAAGATTTTTGAAATTTTAGTCACTTTGCCCCTTTTTGGCCCCGCCCCTCAGGCCCCTGGGGGCTTGGGACTAAACCGGCCACTATTTTTGTTGACCTTTGTCCATGGAAGGTCCTTGGAAATTTCATTGAAATTGGTTCAGGGGGTTTGGAGAAGAAGATTTTTGAAATTTTAGTCACTTTGCCCCTTTTTGGCCCCGCCCCTCAGGCCCCTGGGGGCTTAGGACTAAACCGGCAACAATTTATGTTGACCTTTGTCCATGGAAGGTCCCTGGAAATTTCATTGAAATTGGTTCAGGGGTTTTGGAGAAGAAGTCGAAAATGTAAATTGTTTACGGACGCACGACGGACGACGACGGACAAAAGGCGATCGCAATAGGTCACTTGAGACTTTGTCTCAGGTGACCTAAAAACCACTGTGCAGACATTTTAGGTGCAAAAACAAAGACGGTATTTATTACAGGATATATTGAATTTCGAATATGGTCCAAAATCAAACATGAGTGGAAAAAATTGAAACAATATTTGACAAAAATTTCATGAAAATGACAAAAACATTCCCTTAAAAGAGTTATCACACTGAAACCATCGTAGTTGCTGAAATCCAAGAAGGCCACTGGCAGCCACATTGAATTTCATATTTTCCAGACTCTAGACTTAAGTCTTCAGAGGTTCACTTATAACATACTTCATCACTTTCTAAAAGATTTAGAACAATGCTTGATAACAATGGGAAAGTCAGAGAGATTCTGATGAAATTGTATTTTTATAGACAAAAATGAATATTTACCCATCGTCGTCTCCATTGACGGTGTCAGAGTTGAGCTTGAGTGTTTTTAGGAATGAGTTGGGTATGCTAGGGAAGGCTGGCTGGTTTGAGGCTGGCGGAGGTTGGACCACCCCTCCATTGGTCTCCGGTCTCGTTGTTCCGTTAAGGCTGCCGACTTCCTGTGTCTCCATCAGTTCCGGCATCTTCACATGTTTCATCTGCTCCCGCTTCTTATTCAGGTGATCCTGTGGACAGGATATGGAGGTTAGTGTAAAAGCTATGGGAAACAGTATGTGATCAATCTCTGGTGTGTTTACAGCTTAGAGCTAAATACACACTCTCTATCAAGTAATGCCAACACGTGGATAGTCCGACGGCGTTACATACACAATGAACATCAATGCCCTAATGGAGCCACAAACCTTAACGCTAATCAGGTAATTACCAAAGGAAACTAATTACACCCAATAGAAATGCATGGAGAATCCAAGGAGTTAGTTCCATTCAGAGATTCAAATCCCTCTCTGGCAGTAATCAAAACTGTATTTTACTAGATAGAAAATAATGCAATATACCGTAACAAGAAGTATATTATATAATAAGTTGAATACACCCAAAGGTCACAAGCCTATGAAGACTGTATGTGGTCTTAGTGAAGGTTTGTTTCACACTGGTTTCAGTTTATCCAGGGTTAAATTTACATCAAAATAATAATACCAAAGTCGCATTGATCGACTATTTCCATTTTTCATAAAATTTTAAACCAAATAATGTTTTTACTTAACTTGCAGAAGACAAATTTTGGTATGAAATATACAAAGGGCCCAAACTCAGTGTATAAATGAACTTGATATACAATACTCTACACTCAGATAGAGTTGATGTGATATGCTTAAGAAAAAGTGACACTGACAGACTAATTGACAAATGGTGTGAAAACCAGCAAGTCTTTTCCGCTTATCCAAGTACAGAATAAAATCATGAAATACACTTAAAGCATTTAAATAAACAAGAAATTGCACACAATACAAATCCGCTTTTGTGTGAAAAGTCTACCAGAGCATACACATTGCTTCTTATCAACAGCTTCTCCTTACTGATCACTTTAGCAACTCTGCATATTTCCAAATCTTGTATTTCATTATCTCTATTTCTATGTAAACATGAAGTTTCTTTAGGAGAGTTTAGGAATGCATAAGAGTCACAAATGATTTCAATAACTAGTAGCTGGCGACCTTGATATTGGCTGTAGTACCCTGAAACACAAACTTGCTCCAAGCATTTCATACCTGACTACAGCAGAAGTTTGATCAAAATCAATTCAGGAAAAGTCATCAGAGTTAGGTGACATTTTTTTTTTTTATAAATCGTAGATATGACCTAGAACTTGCATTCATGCATGTGACTAATACAATTTTGGTTTGTTTGTGTTTTACATCCTATTAACAGCTAGGGTCATTTAAGGACGTGCCAGGTTTTGGTGGTGGAGGAAGGCCAGAGTTCCCGGAGAAAAACCACCGACCTACGGCCAGTCCTTGGCGACTGCCCCATGTAGGTCTCGAACCCTCAACCCAGTGATAGGGGGCTAGTGGTAGCAGAATGTCAGACACCTTAACCACTTGGCCACTGCAGCTAAAAGAACAAATATAGTACTAGTTTAATGATCTCTCAGAACAATGTTCACGGTTCAAGGCAACAGGAAAGACACTATTCTACAACAATGCTCTTTTCCTTGTGGCCCAGTTGTTTCTACTGAATATATATATATACACTTATGCCAAACACATACAATATAGAGTAAAACCTGTACAAAATCCCCCTTGTTTCATTTGCCACTTTCTGTACAGCCAATATATTTCCGTGTCCTTTTTTCTAGATTTCTTCAGAATTCCTTTATATAATTTAATTTTGCCTATCTCCCCCATAATATTTTTTTTGGTATATATCGTATATACCTAAAAAGACAAACAACTGATGATGGAACTACTTTTTACACTTCAGAATGCAAAATTACAACGCAGCTTTTTTTTTAGCGCAATTGTTTAGTTTACGTAAAAATTAAATAAATCTTCAACTGTGCATTTACAACATGTTTGTCTACTTTTTTGAATTAAATTATAAAGAATGCCCAAGATTTTGTTTTGGAATATACAGTAAATATTTTCCTAAATTTATCACCAAACCCCTTTATAGTGGCAAACTTTCTCTGGAAAATGGTGGCAGTATATAACAAGGGTGGACCATGGTCAAATAAAATATTTTAGAGCTCAGATAAAACGAAACTGCAGCAATGATTTCATAACAGTATTTGTAAAATTATAGTCACTTTTATTATTAAATATTTCATTTGAAACTCGAAAAATTCATTACTAGAAGATTTGAAATCAAACCGAACTGGTAATAGTTATTACAGATGTCCGATAGTGAACTGTGACAATGAACCTGAACTCCAACAGTATGGGAAATTGCTTACCACAGAAGTACACTTCAGAACAAAGGTCCTAAATAAAGCGTAAAATGTTGTCTCCCTGTCTGGAAAATGTTATTACAAATGATTTCCAGAATCAGAAATGCCGATAACTAATGATCCCATCGTTAATCCTGTCAGATCACAATCGGCTGTGTATATCCTCAGCACCCGGGTTAATCCACAGTACCTGTAGCCAGTGAACAACTTGGCTGGCTGAGCTTTTCTGTGACCACAGACTTGACTTTTAGCGTCTTATTGACGATAAATAGGTAGTACTGATTAGCAGTAGTATATACCAACAGTAGACATACCCAGTGGTGGTGTGTCAGGGAACCAAACCAAGGTGTTGTGCATTCGTTACAAGTGTGTAATATGGTACCCTAATGGACAATCATCTCTAGTTAAGAAACCAAGGTTGGCTGTGCATTCCTCCCGTGTCTAGAGTATTGTATGTGTGTTGGAGAGGAAACAGCTGACGGATAGGAAGAGGATCCCCGACAGATGCTTCCTTTATGCTTGGCACTCGTGTAATGCACCATGTTTGTTGGCTTGTATTAAAACATATCACTTACCACTTATCAGCTTTCTGGAGGTCAATGAAAAACTAGTTCCTGTCACTGTAATATATGATCATATCTTCACTCTCCATTACATTTACAAGGAAAAGCATTTACATCAACCTGCCTTTATTTTTCCGGCATGATAAAGGGGGGCAAAAAATAGTCTTTTAATGCATTTTAAGTTCAAAAGGCATCTTATCATCCATTATGTCAGGTATTGAGTAGATACAAAATTACTTGTGTGGTGCGCACTTGCCTTTCACTGAGGCGGCCAGGGTTCGATTCCCTGATTGGACATGCAAAGGTATGGGGGGTGGGGGTCACTTGCCAGACCATTTGGGTTTTCTCCGGGTACTCTGGTTTCCTCCCACACTAAGACCCCCGCCACTAGCATCTGGGCCAACAAGAGTGATTTAATATGTGTTGAAATAACTTGTTTCATAATTGTTGTAAAATTTAAATGTCATTGCGTAAGTAAATCATTCCATATTTATCCCATCCTGTGCATTACTGGTGAATAAGTCATGAAAAAATAAAACTTGTTATTAACTTATTTCATTTGTCAAAGCAATGATTTATATTATTGAAATAAGTGTTTGGCCGATTCTCAGTTTTAATCGATGATTGATTACTTGACGTCTCGCTAGCGACTATCGATTATGAAAAAGAATAATCGATTATTACAAGGGAAGTAAATCCTTAAAGAATAACCAAATTAATCTGTTTAAAAGGAATGATTACATCTGGAGTGCTTTAAAATGTAAGCGTGTCAAATACAGTTCAAAATCCACACGAAACTAAAACTGTACACTCGAATGGTAGGGATGAGTATTCGGAATCAAAAATGTTTAGAGTTATGCACAGATACACTGGATGCTTGCTGAAAGTTCCGAATGGTACATCCGGGTTTTCAAAATAGAAACAAGAGATCCCAGAAGGATCATGGCGCCCACCTTTGTGCCATCTTCATTAGTTCTTTGTCAGGTTGATCTTTTCTCTTCTTTCCTCTAATCTTTTTGATCGAGTTATGTTAACAGTAAATGCATCTTGAGGTAACTTTTGATCTAAACTTAATACTGATGTGTTTGAAAGCCAACCTTCAAAGTGAGTTTGTAATTTCACATATTTACTAGTACAGTACTTAATGTAAAAGAAATAGAATCGATCATTGCAATATGAGAAAGATCTGTTTTGTTCTTCTTTTAATCCATTTTGTTTTTATGATCAGTCTCAAAATATAACATGCACAACGAGAGATCAAGGGAAACCTACATATAAAATTTGAGAAAGATCCCTCTGGTACTTCTCGAGAAATAGTGATAACAAACTTTCACTATCAAAATCCAAGATGGCTGCCTGTCGGCCATGTTGTTTATCCGATCAGTCTCAAAAGTTGCCCTGCACAGCTCAGGACCGAGGGGAACCTACAGATAAAATTTGAGAAAGATCCCTCTGGTACTTCTTGAGGTATAGTGATAACAAACTTTCAATATCAAAATCCAAGATGGCTGCCTGTCGGCCATGTTGTTCATCCGATCAGTCTCAAAAAATGCCCTGCACAGCTAAGGACCAAGGGAAACCTACGTATAAAATTTGAGAAAGATCCCTCTGGTACTTCTTGAGAAATAGCGATAACAAAGTTTCACTATCAAAATCAAAGATGGCTGCCTGTCGGCCATGTTGTTTATCTGTTCAGTCTCAAAAGTTGCCCTGCACAGTTTAGTACCAAGGGAAACCTACGTATAAAATTTGAGAAAGATCCCTCTGGTACTTCCCGAGAAATAGCGATAACAAACTTTCACTATCAAAATCCAAGATGGCTGCCTGTCGGCCATGTTGTTTATCTGATCAGTCTCAAAAGTTGCCCTGCACAGTTTAGGACCAAGGGAAACCTACGTATAAAATTTGAGAAAGATCCCTCTGGTACTTAAATAGCGATAACAAGAATTGTTTAAGGACGGACGATGGACGGCGGACGATTGACCACGGATGCAGGGTTATTTGAATAGCCCACCATCAGATGATGGTGGGCTAAAAAAGGTAAGCAGAATGGTGAGAATTAGCTCAACCGATTCGAAGCGAAAAATATACCCCCCCCCCCCACTAAATGCAACCTAGACATGGAGGAGGGTCTATGCCAACAAAGGCGAGTTAAAATAACATCGGTTCGGCACACATGTTTATTTATAAGCTGTTGTGTCATCAATTGCAGATT